CAAGTATCTAATAAAACTGTACATAAAACTGTAAGTAACTTTATCTACTTTTGAAGCAAAGGTTTGTGAAATGGTCCCTTTACCATTTGATATTAGCACTGGCTACAAATAATCTCTATTTTTGAAAGCATCTATGGTTGATGCATTTATCTATTCCTATTTTTACTCTATTTTTTAACTCCAAAGCTTGGTTGCAGCTAGAGCCAAGGCATATTTCTACTTTGTGACTTCTGTCACTTTTAATATCTCTAACATTATTCTGATTCTAATATTCTAGCTGCTCTATCAGAGATAACATTGTATGGTACTATTTTAACTCTTATGTGGAAATGTGTTTATGAACAACAAAGGAAGGACAATTCTACTTTTTTACTACTATTTGACATCTAATAAAACGCTACAATACTCATACTTTATCATTTTAAAACATTTTAACAGTTGCTCAGTCTCCCAGACTAAAAAGTCAAAGTTTTTGTCTGTCAGATGTCTGAATACTTAACATGTATATTGCATTTGGTCACAGTTCTGGTTGTAGCAACAGCATCGGCAATAGACGTTTTCATTGGCTGGTTCTTGTTCTGCAAATGTCTGTGTCCAATAGATCATCAGATGTCCAGAAGCTAGGGACAAACAAAAACAAAAGAAAGAATCATGAGTATCTGTCTCGTTTAGCACTCATCAATGTATGATTTCAAAAATATAAACAATCACTCCCCAGTTTTCTCTCTCTCAGGTCCTCAGATCCTCAGGGTCCTCAGGGTCCCCTGAGGGTGAGTCTCAGTCGTCATCAGGTCAGGTCATCTTGGACATCAGTAGGGTCCAAGCCATGGTTTTGGTCCAGATGCACATCAGGATCTCCAGATACAGTCTTTTCACTTGAAGCACATCAGGTCATTTGCGATGCACTTCTGGTCAATGGTGCAGTGTCTCAGTTCCTGTACACAGCTTGTTATGCAATAGTTACTTTCTATGGTTAGTCACTTTGATTCTACTTTAACACAATTTCTATTCATGCTGTTGCTTCTGTCCCTCAGACAAAAGCAAGCGCAGTTTACTTCTCTAATTTGTGTTTTTATCAGATCTAATTCTAATCAATGTAATTACTTCACACAGTACAAAATCAACAAATCAAAAGTGTCAGGACAGACGTCAATTAAGTCCATGACAATATAGAATTCAAATGAACATTTCTGGTCTCAAAAAATACTGATTCAAGTGATAGACAATTAAAAATATTTGTTTACATTGGAGTAAACTTTTAAAATGCTTTTTTCACATGTTCTGCTTTTTCATGTATCTATATGTAAATGTGAGTGTGTGTGTGTATGTGTGTGTGTGTAGTGTGTGAATTTTGGGGTTGTCTCTCCAGACTCCTCAAACCACCTGTAGGTCTCAAAGGTCACACTGTGGTGATGTAAACCAACTGGACACACTTCCAGATTGCAAAACAACTCACCCACCACTGCCTACAGAAAACCCCACTTTGTGGCCCCGGTCTCACTGCCACCTACGACCATCGGTCTGTAGTGGGGGAGGGGCACACGGAGGTAGCTATGTCGCCTTTACGATCTGCGGCTGGTTGGATGGTGTCTACTCTGGGCCACTGTTCTGATCCCTCTGTGTCCACTCCAGCAGTCCAGTGACCCTGTACAGTGTGTGCCCTTGGTTCTGGAAAACAACCTTATAGTCAAATTAAAAACAACAGAGATTGTGAATGAGATTGTTTTTCTCCCTAAAGTCAAAACAATTTTGGAGCACTCTTGGCTTTCCCACATGCGCTATGTAAATAAAAGATTACTTATTATCTTACTAATGATGACACTTTTAAGACCAGAAACTCTTAATATAAAAAAACAAGACTCAAATCTAAAAAAACCTTTAAACTTTAAAATATGTGTACTTTTGTACTGTGTGTTTAATTATCTTGCACATTTCAGACCAGGCTCCTCTGCTGTGGCATCAGCAGGAGGAGCAAGGTCAGGCGTGTAGTCAAAACAAAAACGTCACCGCTTGCAATGGGTGAATTGGGTAGTTTAACTTAATAATACTTTTACAGCTAATTCCCTCTTTCTTTTTAGACAAAGTCTATAATCAATAAGCACTTTTAACACAGATTCTAATTTAAATGTTTGAAAAACGGCTTTTGTAACTAAAATAAAAACATAAAAAAATTCTCACAAACAGCTATGAAATATATCAGAGATACAATAATGGACTCAAAAAAATAAGCAGCAGATTTAAAAAGAAAAGCAAAGCTTTAGCACTAATCTTTGGGTTTCAAAAACATACTAATTCAAAACTTATTCACTAATGGTGTTTAAAAACGTTTAACTGTGTCATAACAATGTTCAAATGGCAAATTTCGCAAATTTAAAAACTTAATAAAAGCCAAAATCCTAAAAGCAGTAGCTCTGATTCAGAGCCGGAGCATCAAAGGAGGGGGCCGTTTCCCCTGACAACGGCAGCAAGATAGAGGGGCGCACACACACAGGCAGAAAGTAGTGTTTTAGCAAAAATGCAAAAACAGAAAGAAGAATAACTTAAGATTACTTTTTTAAGCAAATATAACTGATGTTTATACTTTTGTCATCCAAGTCTAGAAATGGCCACTTTCCACACTTGTAACAAAAGGCACTCTTGTCTTTAACGTTTACGCTTCTATTTTATCGAGGTAGCAAACTAATTTAAACTCAAAATCTCTTTCTAAAAAACAAAAACAACTGTTGGATACAACCTTCTCATAGCTTAACTGTAGATATAACTCGGCAAAAAATGTAAATAACTCACGAAAGCTCTCATAGCTCAACTTTAGATAAAACTCTGCATTCTCCGGTGAACTCTGTTCACTCCAAAAAACAAAAACTCCCTTTTTCTGTATGTAATTTAAACCGTGATCACTGAAATATTGTTGCTTCTTTACTTTTGTCATTTATCAGCCTGAAATTCGTCAATTTCAAAGCTTTTGTAACAAAGGCCTCTTTAACACATTTCCCTTTTTATTGCTTTTATTATTACACCATGGTTTCACTAAGGATCCTACACTTGATCTTTTCTCAAAGGGACTCTAACCCCGAAAACGTTTTCTCAAAGGGACTCTAACCCTGAAGCTTCTTCTCAAAGGGACTCTAACCCCGAGACTTCTTCTCAAAGGGACTCTAACCCCGAGACTTCTTCTCAAAGGGACTCTAACCCCGAGACTTCTTCTCAAAGGGACTCTAACCCCGAGACTTCTTCTCAAATACAATTTAGAGAGTTTGACAGACCCCAAAAACAGACCAAAATTTAGCTAGTATCCAATTATACAGACTTTACATATAAAAAGGTGTCTGCTTACCTTATTCTTGTCAAACAGGATCCAAGGACTGTCCCAGAGGTCTGCCAACCTCTTTTCCGCGTCGGAATATTCAATTTAAAAAACAAAAGTGACAGAAGCAACAAGAAGCATCCAGGAACAGCTCTTCCAGCCTGCTGGAATCTCCGCTCCCAGACACAGCATGCCGGTCTCTCACGCAGAGGAAAAGAAACAGAGCAAACTCCCTCAAAACAATCCAGAGAATGGCACACACTGAGCCGCGCATTCTCCACCAAATCTGTTAGGATTTAGCAGACAGAGACGGATCGTGGTGTGCCAAACTCTGGAAGTTTATTTAAGTTTCTCTCAAGTTCCACTGGTTTACTCCGTTTCTTTCTCTCAGACAGAATAAAGGCAGTACACAGTTTATATAGTCATTGTCACGTCACACATCGAAAGACATACGTGTCACAAAGAGACAGTCACATCATAGTCATAACATGGAGTCCTTGTACAGTCCTTGTACAGTCCTGCACGTAGGCCATATTGCTATCTAATACTAACAGATGTCCATATGTTACAAGTTTAGGTTGTGAAGTGACTTTTGGGTTGTCAGCGTGACATAAGACTGGAAACCTTTTTATGCTAAAATGTTTGAACTGTGTCAACAAACTAATGGTTTGGGCCATTTGGAATCTTTGGAGTGACCATGATGTAGGTGTGTTTTTGTCTAAATAAATAGGCCTGTTACACAATGGATTTCAGTGCACGCACGGTCACAGCACCAAGATCAAAGATGTGCCGTGACCATGCAGGCGCTCCTTGCGTTGCAAGTAAAACAAATGCATCCTTGTCTGTTTTGTATATCTTTGTCCAGGTGCTGTAGTTTAAACCATCTTTCATAACAGTCAAAGAGGTTAACCCATTTCCTAACGCACATTAGGCATGTCTGGGCAATGAGAACATGACTGCTGCATTTCAGCCAGGTATTCTTGGGTTTCATATGACGTCAAGGCAGTGGCGCGAATACCAAACGTAGAACAGGACGTGACGTATCCTGGCGGTGCAGTCTGCCGGGTTTATACACGGAGATATAGTAGAAGAAGAAGTGCTGTCAAAATGCCATCTTTTTGTGCGGTGTACGCTTGTAGCAACCGCACAAATAGAGAGAAAGACAAGAGTTTCTTCTGTGTTCCAACTGTGGTCTCAGATAAAGGAGGACACTTTGAAAAAATCACTGGAATGAGGCGGGCGAGGTGGATCAAGGCTTTCCCAGATAAGCGCCCCCTGCAGGCCAACCAAATGAAACGGGGCAATTTCTGTTTTGATTTTGGGCATTTAAAAAAATAAATAAAGACTCTTTGAGAAATATATCTGAGTACTCCCTTAGTTGAGGGTTGAGTTGTCCCATCTCTGCTCATTCGTCCCCTGCTGGCCAAGTTTAATGAAACCCAAGAATATGTAGCTATCAAACAATAAAGTGTTAGTGGAAATTTACTGGGAAATCTATATTGTTTGCTTGCTGCGTTTTCGATTACCGTATCATATCTCGATAACACATATTTCAGATTAAGAAAGCATTTTGTTTTAATCAATTTGGATGCAGCCCCTGTGGATATCTGCTGCTGCTCAGCCTCTGAAATACTGAGTAAGATGGTCTTAAAAATAAAATGTCCTGAACTGCAGCAGTTGTGAAAGTGGCCGAGACTCACACTTCCAGCTGTTCTTCCTCCTGCTGTCCGCTCTTCTCTGACTCTTCTTTACTCTCTTGGATTTCCTGCTTGAGCCTGGAACCAGAGAAGTGCTCCATGTCGCCCCCACTCCCTGAGCTGATGTCCTCGCCCTGCGCTCCATCTGAGCACTCGTCTGTCTTCACAGAGACTAAACTGAACACAAATCAACAATGTCAGATGTCACAATAACACAGAAGCATGTTTATTTACTGTTTAAGGCTCACACTTGCAGCTGCTCTTCCTCATGTTTGATTCTCTGCTCCTCAGGCTCCTCTTTAATCTGTGGACTCTGGGACATGTTCTGACTAGAATCAGGAGCCCGAGAGGGGTCTGGACCATAGACTGTCTGGACACCTGCAGGAGAAGATGGGTTAATGGAGGACTGAACTATTCAAACAAACATGTGCAGAGTATAATGAATAATACATTATAATAATTAAGGTCTGCAAAGGATTAGAAGAGTGATACCAAACAGTACTTTAATTTTGATGAATTCTGGGACCAATGAAATTCCATCAAATAACTTAAATGACCACTGGACAGGCTGCATACTGTCATTATATATAAAAAAAAAAGGATCGAGGCTTGAGCTGAACTGAGGATAACGTTACATTACATTGGGACTTGCTCCAGATCAAAAATGCTGCCGTGTGAATACAGACGAAAGCAGGACAAGTACAGAAGTCCCTGATGTTATATAGAGTATAACAGTATATGTGAAGGATGCTAACAGTAGCTCAGTGCTAACACAGAGCACTGGGCCTACCCAGTGTTGTTTACCACCAACACCACACTTTACCTCTGTGAGAACGCCGTGTGTAGGATAGAGATGTTATAAACCAGCTTTAAAGTTTATGAAGCAGAAGAATCTCAGCATCTGTTTGGAAACGCTGCTGCATGTCACGTGACTGACGCGCGGCTTATGTGCAGTTCTGCTCACAGTCACCAGATGGCGCCAATTCTCCAGTTTTCATTGTTTACAAACAGGTAGTTCGACATTAACTATGTTTTTGGCTTTATTTGCATGACAATTGTTTTTAGTTAACACGTTTTCCCCTAAAATAACAGAAATAGAAAGACAATTAAGTTAAAAGTCACAAAAACCAAATAGGGTGTGTCTTAAGCAGAGACTGGTCCCAGGGCGTGACTCCAGTGCCAGGGGCCGGGCTCAGGAGCAGGAGCCGGGGCGTACGAGGAAGTGTGTCCGTGTGGAAGACAGTGATCCTCGACCGACACCTCGTCACCTTTGCACCTCTGCACATCAGCATGCCTGCGAAGAAAGTCTGCATCGTTGGCTCTGGAAACTGGTAATGGATCTTTGACTCTGGCGTTGAAACCATAGAGGTGGAAACGCGATCACTTGTGTATTTGTATTTTTCGTGTTGTTTTGGCAAAAGGAAAGTGGCTGTGGTCATGCATGTACAGACAGGGCAGTCAGATCACTGCTAGAGGCCCTTAAACGCTATTGGTGTTGCTTCCTTTGCATTTTGATCTGTCATAACCATCATCATAATCTGTCAACTAAGGCTATTAAAACGCATTTCTTTTTTAGTAGTCACTATAAATACACACAGGTAAGAGCAGCTGAATTTCCTGGACTTTGCCTGGCTGCACGGATTTGTACAGATTGCTTTAATATGCAAGTTGAGCCTTTTCATGAATTAGATACACTAGCTCCTCTCATTTTGCAAATTTTTAACTTTATTGAATGACCTATTATTGAGAGGTCAGTGTGAGGGCTGTCATGACCTATTAAAAAAAAACATCCACAAGAAAGACAGAAAGAAAGGCAACACTGTACTAACCTCACTTTACCTCACTTTATTATCCAGTAATAGACTAGTTTGATTAAGATGAAGAGAACCTTTATTCGTCCCACTGTGGGGAAATCTCTCTGAAAACAGCGGGAATGCACTAATCATTTTTGGACATTACTAATTAATATATTTTGTATATAGTTTATGGTATTTAATTTTGGAAAAATTTTAACAGTCATTCAAACTTGCTGAGAAGAGTAGTAACTTAGATAGAGCTGCAATTGCTGCACTCAAAAGTGTAAACACAAAAATGGGTTGTTTCCCCTTGTCATTTTTGTATGTGATCTTTTTATTTGGATCGCATTAGCTTCCCCACGTGATCGCTAGTCTTCCTGGGGTCCACTCCACATAAGATCATCAAGTATACAAAAGCAATTAACAAAACAAAATAACCTGGGCTTATTGGGCTTAGAGCTGATTGGCTGAGTGAGGGTGGTCGTCCTTTTCCAGTCACTAGAGTAGAAATATGGATTTTATTACATTCGATTGGGTACCCCAGCTGCTAACCACCTTCACTGCTCTGTCATGATATATAACTAATCCAATAGTCAATGGAATAAATTGTTTGCCCAACTAATAATTCATATATTTATTAATTCTCCTCTCTGCTCTCTCCTCTCTGCTGTCTGCCCTCCATCCTCTCCTCTCCCCTCTCTGCTCTCTCCTCTCTCCTTTCTGCTCTCTCCTCTCTGCTCTCTGCTCTCTGCTCTCTCCTCTCTCATCTCTCCTCTCTCCTCTCTCCTCTCTCCTCTCTCCTCTCTCCTCTCTCCTCTCTCCTCTCTCCTCTCTGCTCTCTGCTCTCTCCTCTCTCCTCTCTCCTCTCTCCTCTCTCCTCTCTCCTCTCTCCTCTCTGCTCTCTCCTCTCTGCTCTCTCCTCTCTGCTCTCTCCTCTCTCCTCTCTCCTCTCTCCTCTCTCCTCTCTGCTCTCTCCTCTCTCCTCTCTCCTCTCTCCTCTCTCCTCTCTCCTCTCTCCTCTCTGCTCTCTCCTCTCTGCTCTCTCCTCTCTGCTCTCTGCTCTCTCCTCTCTCCTCTCTGCTCTCTGCTCTCTGCTCTCTGCTCTCTCCTCTCTCCTCTCTCCTCTCTGCTATCTGTTCTCGTCTCTCTCCTCTCTCCTCTCTCCTCTCTCCTCTCTCCTCTCTCCTCTCTCCTCTCTGCTCTCTCCTCTCTGCTCTCTGCTCTCTCCTCTCTGCTCTCTGCTCTCTGCTCTCTGCTCTCTGCTCTCTCCTCTCTCCTCTCTCCTCTCTGCTATCTGTTCTCGTCTCTCTCCTCTCTCCTCTCTCCTCTCTGCTCTCTCCTCTCTCCTCTCTCCTCTCTGCTCTCTGCTATCTGTTCTCGTCTCTCTCCTCTCTTCTCTGTCCAGGGGCTCAGCCATCGCCAAAATCATCGGCCACAATGTGAAGGGCTCCAACCGCTTCGACCCGATGGTCAGCATGTGGGTGTACGAGGAGATGATCGAGGGCCGAAAGCTCACCGACATCATCAACACAGAGCACGAGAACGTCAAGTACCTGCCCGGCCACAAACTGCCGCGCAACGTGGTACGAGCCGCCGTACCTGCCACACCCGCCACAGCTGCCCCAGGGCTATCGGAGCAGCTTTTATTACAGGCCAGGGGAGATAAGGAGTGACTATGGGTTGAATACTTTACACGTTTATGCAATAGACAGAGAAGTGATAAGTGTGCAGGTGAAGAACACAGTCGACGATTTGCAAGCAAGGAAAGTTTATTTGTAGAGCAAAGCTTGAAGTGCTCACAATCAAGATAGAAACAAACAAAACATTAAAATCATAGATAATCACAGTGCATTAAAAAGAGTGAATATACAGTCCTTCAGTTGTATGCATAGTTAAGCAGAACTGTTTGTAAGCTGCATATTTACAGTTTCAGGACGACTGTTTTTCAGCTGCATAGTTCTGACTCTGGGAACCAGCAGGAGGCCTGTCCCTGTGATCCTCAGAGTGTTAAGAAATGATGCAAAGGACATCACGTGACTAGAGAAAATGAGAAAATTGAGAAAATCTAGTGATGTATAATGTCATTGTACCAGTTTGATGTCTTTAAAAACAAAAATATTGCCCATAAATTACTTTTGGTAAATTCTCAGCTGGTGTTAAGATCTTTGCAATCACATGTTTGTGCTTGCAGCCAGGACTGTTCAAATAAAGAATGCAAAACACATTCTACTTGTCTCTCTGGTGGTAGCAGGCAGAAGACATTGTTATAATTGAATGGCCTTTTTTCCTTTTTTAAAGCCATACTTTTGTTATAATATTCTGAAATTGGAGTATTTGGACAAACGGTGCTACAATTTTCTGTTATTGGATGGAGGGTGGTTGGAGAGAAAAATGACTATAACGTTTTATTTAGGGCTGTCAGGAATTATGAGGATCTGTGTAAGTGTAGTGACCTGTATTCCTTTCCTCCGCTGTAACTTCAGGTGGCGGAGGCCGACATCACGGAGGCGGTGAAGGGAGCCACCATCCTGGTCTTCGTCATCCCACATCAGTTCATCAGCAAACTGTGCGACCAGATCAAGCCCCACATCGACCCGGGATCAACCATTGGGATATCGCTCATAAAGGTGAGTTTGAGGGTTTCCTTTCCCACTTTGTGTGTGGTGTCATTGGGCCTCCTGCTGCTGCTGCCCAGGTGTTTGGGAAATGTATACAATTCTGCTAATAGTTAGTACTTTTGATATTTATATAATTTCATCCTGTTGTGTATGCCTGCCTTTGACACATAACATGTTGCTATTTTAACTTCGGTCTACCCATGTTTGCTGTGATTTTACACACACACACGCACACGCACACACACACACAATGTCCAACTCATTTTCCTTGAGGAAGGTAAATATGAATCACAAGTTTAGACTCTCATTTCTTCACATTCATTATCTTTTGTTGTTATAACTTAATTATTAAAAACATTATTATTAAAGTGATAGTCTGGAACTCCTGGCCTTAAATGTTGATATAAAATAAGTCATTTTATGAATTCTAATATTACGGGTAAGTCCCGCCTTCCCTTCTCTTAGCTATTGACCAGATGCATCAACGTCATCCAGTCACGTGATTGTGAATGAGCTTACGGCGTAAGTATTGGAAACTAGCATTGCTGCGAGAGCAAAACGGACACAACTCTTAAAAACAGAGCTTCCTCTCCTAAATGGAGAAGTGGCTGCTTCAAGCACATGTTCGATTACGTTATAGGTGGAAGTAGGACATCAGGTCAGGGCTCACAAAGAGTGGTATTTGGAGAAGTTAAGGATCGCCTAACTGGATGTTGACCCATACCTTCTCCCACAGTCAATTTTATCGATTAAATAAAATGTCTATTTTTGCCCAAATTCACCCTACATGATCTTTATCATTATCGTTAACAATGCATCCCCTCACACTGGAGCAGATTTATATGTACATTTTGCTGGTAGCATTAGCAATAGTCCACTTTTCTGTGGCTTTTCTGTCTACAGCCAAA